ATACAAAAGGGTCACGAACAAACTTTAAAAATGGATTCTCCTTTAAAGGAGAAGGACATGGGAAGTCATGGCTTTCCCCTTGCAGGCTGTCAGAATTTCAGCCTGAAAGGGACTGCTTGGGGCCCCCTATACCCCACACACTGTGGGGCTGGGACCTGGGAGCAGCAGGTTGGAACTAAGGGGCACGGGTCAGGACGGGCCATCAATGTTTACAAATGGGTCCTCATACAAAAAAAGATTGAGAACCACTGGCTTAGGTGACAACAATCATGAAATGACGGTTCAAAATACTAAAGGAAGGAAGGAAAGCAGCAGAATAAAAGCACTGGACTTCAGAAAAGCAAACTTTAGTAAACTTAGGGCAGTGGCTTTCAACATTTTTTCATTTGTGGACACCTACAAAAAATTCTGAATGGAGGTATGAACCACTTTGAATTTTAATTTGGGATATTCACATACTTTTTATTGATCACAGTCATACTCCCATGGGCCATAGGGACTTTTGGGGAGCTGTCAGGGGCTGAGTCAGCCCCTCCCTTCTCACCCCCACAGCTCACCAGCCTTGTGTGGGATGGCGCTGCAAGCAAGCAGGGAGCTGGCATGGATGCAGGCAGCAGCTTCAACAGAAGCAGCTCAGCTGGGGCCCCTCCCACCACCAGTGCCACCTCTGGACCACCCTTCTATGCTGAGGAGAGGCTAGAGTGGACGCCCTGATCCCTAGCAGGAATCTGCTGGCTGTGTCCACAGTTTATGCTGATGCGAGCCCAGCGCTACTTCTGATGCATGGGGCAGGAGCTGATGTAAACTGCAGATGGGGTGTGCCCACCTGCTCAGTACAACACAGCCACTGGCTCCCTGCAGGCTGGATCCCATGACTGTGGCTACCCACCTGCAGGCTGGATCCAGCCCACAGGTCTATTTTGCCCACCCCTGCCTCAGGCAGTCTGCAGACCCCAAAAGAGTACAGGAACTACAGGTTGAAAACAACTGACTTAGAGAATTGGTGGGCAAGGCCCTAAGCGAGGCAAGACCAAGGGGAAAAGGAGCCCAGGAGAGCTGGTTGTACTTTAAGAAGGTTGTATTAAGGGTTCAGGAACAAGCTATGCAAATACAATGGAAGAATCGGAAGTGCAACAGAAGTCCAGACTGACTAGACAGCAATTTCTTCAATATGCTGAAACTCAAAAAGGAATCCTAAAAAGAAGGAGAAACTTGGTCATATTCTTACACTCTTCCCTAGTAATATCACATGGGCATGCAGAGAGAAAATTATGTAGCCCATGGTACGATTTGAGATGCAACTGGCAAGGGATATAGAATGCAATAAAGACAAGTATGTCAAAAGTAAAAAGACAACCAAAGAAACCATGAGTCCCTTACAGAGATGGACATGGTATCCCTGCATTCCAAGCAGACAACATTTGCATAGAATCTTTTCTCTAATACTTAGCTCAACCTGTATCTGCTTCTCCTGAAGTTTGTCCAGCTTTCCCAACTCTACTGTCAGACTAAAAAAAAAAAAGAGGTATCACAAAAATAACCTTGCCCCTTTAAAAACTTACAAGATACTCATGAAGATATGCTGAATACTGATTTTCTTATAATGCTCTAGAAAGAAATGGCAGAAGGGAAAAAAGTTTTAAAAATTTGGTTTCCATTTCAACTTCATCTTGCGTCCAACCAGACCTAATTACAGTCAGAAATATAGATATAGCCAATATATGCAGCATATGATCAGGAATACAATCCTTTTAAGAATTTTTATCCAAATATTTGGCTTAGGTGAGAAAAGTATCTTAGTAAACCAGAACTGCAAACACTAGCTTCCAAGTCAGGTATTTGCTTTTTTTAAGAATCAAAAAACTGGTCAGGAAGGAATCAAAGTGCAGTGAACTCAAATGTAGCATATATCTATAATCCAGATGAAATCAAAATAACTAGCATGGCATGTGTAGGCAGTCACATATCCACATTTATAATAGGAGGGTAAATAAAAACTGAGTCACAGTAATGAATACTATATACCAGTATTCCCCACAATTTCTAATTCTATGGCCTGTGCATCTTTGTCTGGCTTCCAATCATCTGTTTTCTATCAGCTAATGATTTTAAGAACATTCTGGAAAATGGGTTTCATGTCTCCAATATAAAGAATGCTCTAAGTCTGTTTTGCTTTTCTCAAAATGAAAAATAGTTCTCTTTAAGATCTGTCATTTCTTTAAATAGAACATTAATGCTTCCCAAATACTGGAAAGAAATATAATAAGTAGACACTGTCACTTGTGAAAACTAAGTTACCTTAGACAGAACCAGCAGGAACATCTATATTGTGTTCATGATGTAGAAAATTAGGTAAAGTAGGACAACTCTCAGTTGTTTGTTTTTTTTAAAAGACAGAAATACATATTACTGCAGTCAAGAACCAGGACAGCAAAGATGGTCCTTGCCCCAAAGAGCTTACAGTATAGGCACAGTCTTGTGATACATTTTAGATAGACGGGGAGTACAAGGAAAATGAGAAAATCTGTATCAGCATGACCTGTATGCCATCTGAAACTAACCTACATGCCATTTTAACCAAATACTCTAATATAACAGAATTATAATAGGAGAAGATAACAACTGTTTACATGTGCTCAGTTTTACATTTTATTATGTGCCCACTGGATTAAGAAGTTATAAACACAGAACCAGTGCATTTAGCCATAAACCTCAGCTAATATAGAATGTGGCAACCTGTTTGTTCAGCAACATCAACTACCACCAGCACAGTACATCTATCCTCTGGCAAGAGCTTCCCATAGAACATGTGAAATCCAGTGTCTCGGTCATTATTTTTCAAACATTCCATGTCTTGGATCAAGGACAACAATCTGAAAAAAAAGAGAGCAGACAGCAGCTCCACTCCTGACACACAACCCAACAGCAGGATAAAGTTCATTTGCTGAGGAGAGATTTTGGATTTGAGGCTGGTTCAAGACTGTGGCAGAAATTGCCCGTACCACACAAGAACTGCATTTTACTGTAAACCTCCATCAATTAACTGCACACTTTGTGTTCACTTTTGCTCATATAGTGTCATATGTATATACATATTTAAAACAAACCACGAACATTTTCCTTGGGGAAAAAAATAAAGAATAAACCACTTGTGACAGATGCCAAACCCTCCGTTTAATCTATTTTTGCAGGAGATTCATTAACTACAAGGGGTGAGAACCAAACAAAAGGCAGAATAAAAATACATAAAGATTTGGTCAGCATACTCAAAATGACATCCCATACAGGGGATGAAGGGGGTGGGGGGCGGGGAAGGGGGGGATATGTAATTTACACCATAATTTGTGACTACCTCAAATTTTACCTCTAATTAAAATTTCACAGCTACAGGAACTGTCAATCTTTAACAAATTACTTGTAAAAGAAAAAAAAAAAAAAAAAGGAAAAAAGTGTTTCTCAATCTTAAGAATAGAAGTTCTGGCTCCAAATTAATGAAGCCAGGAAGGATATGATAAAATTAAATCTCAAACACAAGTCCTCCAAATTAGCCTATGAAATGCTTCATGTTCAACCAGGAACAGGGATGTGAAATAGAGACTCAAATATTAACCCTATGCAAAAGCTTAATAGGAGTATTTTATCATCAATACAGAAGTAGTAATGCTTTTTCCATGTTAGCATTAAGGATACAATATTCAATCAACGAGATACTACTTTCTTTTAAGAATTGGTACAGTAGTAGGCTACTAATTGCTGGCAAGGAAAAAAAATTTTCATACTTTAAACAAAACCAGTTATATTTCTTAAATTATAAAACCCTGAATTCTGGCTACTGTACAAAATTTCAGTTCTAACCTAAGAGAAAGGATGTTTTAATAGCTATGACTGCCACAAGTGAAAGACTTACAAAAAAAAGCTGTATTCTAACATTCAGTAAATATCTCTTTAAGTAACTGTAGTATGCTAACAATGTGCACACAAGCATATTTCAGAAACACCCAGAAATGCTCCTAAACTTGCATTCTTATCCATTTATTTACAAAAGCTCAACAAGATGACTACAATAGTATAAAATAGCTTCTGCACCCGATTCTCAAGTATTTTGCATCTTGGGCCTAACATATACACTTGAGTTGCACTGATTAACTAAGGGGAAAAGGCACAACTAAACAAGATCAATTTAACATTCACCAACCACCTCAGGAAAAACACTGAAGTTTTAGATGTGGAAAATCAAGTTGTTTTTACTTTAGTAATGCTAGTACAAAATGATCCTTAAATCTAAATGGTAATGTTTTACTGCCAATTTGCATATAGGAACCAAACAACATAAAGGTGCAAGGCAGCATGGAACTAAGTCAACTTTCTTGCCTTTATAGAGGCCTGAATCTAATAGGTCTTTTTCCATCATTAGCTCCTCCACTCCCAAGCATAACAGCCTTTTTAAGTGAAGCTGCCATACTACCCAAAACTAATAAAATCTATCTAGGACCTCTATACCCGAGGTATCAAACTTAGAATATCTATTTCTAAAACCAATTTTTCTCTAGAATTTTTTAAAACTGAAATGCATTTTAACAAAACCTTAACTAAAAATGTAAAAAATGTGTTTTTATACATTAAAATACTCAGCATTTCAACTTTGGACAAGTACTGAAATCATAAGAGCAATAATTGTAAAAATTGAATAAAATTCCTTCCGAAATAAACATGGAGAACTTAGAAATATTAGTTGTCAGTAGTATACATGTGAACAACTGATTATACAGGGAACCCACCTACACAATAATATAGCAAAAGGCTTTAGAACAACTTACATGTAATGCAACATTACTCATTATGAAGGATACTTTAACAGTAATCATTAATAACAGTCACAGTACTTCACAAATGCACATGAACAAATGAGTGTTTGCTGGGGGGTTTTTTAATGCAACTGTTCTTCTGTAAAGCTTCCTTAATACCATTTGCAGCCTTTTATGAATAAATAAGCACAGATAAAGATTTGTCTTCTGCTTAATATTATTTTTCAAGGTTCAAAACGTTTATTTGAAAAGTTTAACAGAGGATATACTTCGTTGACAAACCTATAGTGATTAGATTTGTACAGGAAGAAGAAATAAGTAAACAGCATTTTTACAGCTCAGTAAGGATGTATATAAAATTCAATGCTTTTGAGAAGTTGTATTAGCTTCAATCACTTGTCATAACATAAATATTCATCATATGAATTGCAACTTGCAGCTCTATTTGCACACATTTACAATTAATTAAACATGAAGTTTTTTCACACTTAACGTAAGAATTCTTAAGTATTGAGATGAATGAAAAAGATGCTACTTACAATTTAACAAAAAAAAGTTATTCCAAGCAGTATTTTTAATAACATTTCCAAATTCATTTGATTTGTTTTATATTTTATTGTGATCAAATAACTGCACAAGTTTTACAGCATAGTCACATGTTTATATTTTGCTGAAGTCACAAACACATTGACTTACATAATGATGCTCATCATTTCTGCTCTACACTACAAAGCCTATTACTGAATACAAAAATGTTTAGGTTTTACAAAAGAAACTGTTTTAAAGACTACATTAACAATAAAACCGTTTTCCAGATAACAGCTAAAATTATAAAGGCAGATCACTGGATACCTGTACTAAATTTTCTAAACAGTAAGGAATGAAAGAAGTTTTTAATATCTGCGACGTTTGTTAGGTCCTTCAAAGTTGCCCCCTGGATTTCCTCTACCAAAGCCACCAGGTCCACCACTCACGGCACCCACGCCACTCATTGGCGGCTGAGGAGTTTCAGAGCCCGCTCTACTAACCATAGGTGAACCCATCTGTGATGGACCTCCTTGAGGGAATCTCTCATTATGCTAACATACAATGAATAAAGTCCATTTGGAACATGCCAAATGTAAGTTACAACAAAATTGGCAAAACCCAAGTGATGGTGTCATGAAGTTCAGCAGATAGTCCAGCAGAATCAGGATCCCACATAGAAGGAAGAAAGGAGCAATTAAATTAGTTATTATTTTAAAAGGTGTTGAAAATTAAAGCTTGCTAATACTGTGCTCCAACTTTCTGTAATTAAGACAAAATGTAAATAAAACTAAAATACAAGACCCATCCCCCCCACATAGATCATATCAGCAAACAGCTGGAATCTAATTTTAAACTCAACTCTAACACAAAAATATGTATACTGTCAAAATATGTATACTATGCAAAATATGTATAAATATAATTACATTTATTTGATGGGTGACAGAATACATATTTTTTAAATCTAGAAGGAAGCTATAAACATCATATATAAATTTTCCTGTACTTTAAACATATATGATAATGCTCTTGTATTCACTAGCTTGAATATGAAGGACTGTTAAAGAAAAAAATGTAACTTGCAGCTTAAGGGCTTCCAAAGGTTAATGACTACTGTCAAAGAAAATGAAATATCAAGGTTTCTTCAGACAGCTGAAGTATTTGTATCCAACTTTAACTGGAACCAGTGCTTTTATTGTATTAAAAATAAATAAATAAATAAAATAAAATTACTGACTAAAGCTCAGATGCATTTATTTTCAAGTAAATATTCTGCTTGAATGTTTTACTCTTTATCATTTATCATATTATTTACAATGTTTTACTATTTAAAAAGTGAAGCATAATTATAAACAGCCCAAACTGAAATGCAGATTTAAGATTAAGATCCGACTGTATTCTGCATTATATGGCTTCTTTAGTACTAAAATTAAATACAGGCCATCACAAGTGTACTTAGGTACCATTACTGTTTTTTAAAATTTTCATTAAGGTCCCAATTCTGCAAATACTTACACAGGCCTGAATACTAACAGTTTAACTGCAAACACTGGCCCAAGGTTGTCTCTTATATTACTGTTTAAAAAACTCTCTACCCTTCCCTATATATAATGTGCAATATAAATTCAATATAATACATTAATTATATGGAACCAAAGTATATATTACTACATAGTTTGATCAGATTGTCAAAAGAATTCTGCATGCAATTATCAAAAGTGGCCCCACTTTCAAAAAACATCAGTTCTCATTCAGAAAAACTGGCTGGGTTTTCAGGTGTTTTGCTCAAATACTTTGAAAACCTGACCACTTTGTGTTTATGAGATCTTCTGAAAATATAGCCTCAAAGTAGGCGTTGAGTTGGATGGCTGTGAAAATCTGATCTCTAGTCATTAATACTGTAGTGTAGAATTTTCATTTTTGAAGTTAACTACTCAGGAATGCAACAGCTCCAGATAAAGCTGTTAAATTTAAAAATACTGACCAACTTCAACAAATCTTCTTTCCACTCAATATCAACAAACACTGAATAAGCCCTAGATGTGAAAAATGGCTTTTTTATATACCCCAGCAATGTCGTCTTAGATTACTGGTTTAATTTTTGGACAATCAAGCAAATGAATGGGCTACAGGTATTATTAACTAGATAGGGTAGAAGTTTAAGTAAAAATTCTCATGTTTCATAGTAGCTAGGGTCAGGAGGGACCGGATATCTTAAAGCCATTTGTCCAGAGATAGTCTGGTTCCCAGATTTACTTGTTTACGAAAAAAATATCATCCTACAAAAATATTTGAAAGGTAAAGGAGATACTGATTTTTAAAATGAAATTACTACTATGTCTCCATAAAAAATAAAAACTCTCTCTTATGAGTTGTAGTGAAAACTTAGGTGCATGCCCAATCTAAAAATGAAAATGAGAACTGGACTCCCCTCCCCAGCAATCCCATTCTCCATTTCCTGCAATCAAATGGTAAATACACTAGTTGAGTTCTTTGGGAAATAGCATATAGACAATGTGTCAGTTAAATAGTTATTTCCACAGTTCAGACACAGAAAGGGGGGGGGGGCTAGTATCTGAGCAATGCCAAAAAAAGGTATAGAATTGAGAGCACCAATATAGATTATCATCCATTTAATTTGTTTCTGACATCTGGAAGGGAACGAGTTTCATTTACATTTTCAGCATTAGGCTGGACAAACTTGTTATAATATGTAGCAGTTGTGAAATTTAAATAGGTTCCTCCTGTATATATGAGAAAACTGAAATGACCATTTCCAGATTAACACTGAGATGCCCAATATCACATTCTCTCCCCACCCCCACCCTCACCTTCAGTTGCTGATTCAAAGCAACTACCAGGGAATGTTCTAGAGGTGATCTGAGCAAAGGAGCAGGGTTTTTCCACTGTTTCAACAAATAATCTTGCAACACTAACTGATTTCTTCCCTCTTTCATTATTTAGCCTTAAGAAATAAGCTTGAGGATACTGACTGTAGCAAGTATACTTAAGCCAAAAACCTTTTTAGCCAAAACAGGAGCCAAACCAGATCAGCAGTGCTGTAACTTGCAGCAAGACTTAAGTTGATGGTCGTGTATTCACTCTGTACAATGGCTCTTTGGCTAACTTGACTCCTTGCAACACCATTTGTGGGAGATATGAAAGCAATGAGCTGGCTCCCAGAAAATGTGTTAGTAAAAGTCTTGTAACTGAAACAGGTTGCCTTCATTCTCACTAGAAAAAGATCACTCAAGGTAAGGCATATTCTGTAGAAAAAAAACTAAAATCTCAATCTCTTGTTCAAGCAAGCAAAGCAGCAAGCAATTTCGTGAGCACCTATATGTTGGTTACCATATTGGCTTTTTTCTTTGAGGAAGAAGCCAAAGGAAAGGAGGGATTTGTGTGTTTCAACATTCCAACAAAGCTATGCTCTTACTTTTCTACTCTTTACATCATCTCACCACCAGAACACCCCAACAGAAATATATTCACTCAAACACAGAAAGCATATTCAAAAAATCAGACAACTATTTCTCTACAGAAGACATCATAGCTAGGAAAAGGGGTGTAATGGGTTGGTGGGCATAATCAGTTTGCAACATCTGTGCTCAGTATCCCATGGGTTATCTATAAGAATTTCATTTCCGATGGTATAGTTACTATCATAACTTGTTTCAATGTGTTTATACACAGAAGTAACTGATTTTTAAAAGACGTAAATTACATGAAGATATCTTCACACTATATGGATTAATGGCATTGCTCCCCTTAATCTATTACATAACTGTTTAACAATCTAATATAAAAGCAAATACAATTTAATTTGATAATCAACAGCATACCAAATGCCTGATGTAACAGTGGTGAAATTTAACTACACACAGTACTTTAGTGCCATATTCTTTGTAAGTTTTATAATATGATGAAATACCTTTATGATAAAAAATAATCCTTCCTGACAGACTTTACAGACAGTTGCACTGTAATTGAGAGAAATTTTAGTACATGGCTAATTTTTAAAAAGCTCAGAAAACTTGGAAGACTGGCACTCACCAAAAGCTTTAATTTAATTCAGGATATTCAATATTTCCAACTAATATCCTAGATAAACTTTCTGGATAAACTTTACAGCAAAAAAACTGTTGTGGCATAATGTAAACAAAGGTATCTTTTGCGAGTTGCCTCTAACATACTAATAACTGCTTTCTACTTCCCAAAAATATTTTCCAGTGAGTGCTTTTAAAAAAAAATCTAGTAATATACTACCAATTAACTTTCAGTGTGAAGATATCTTTGGTGAAAATGTCCCATGAGACATAATTGATAAAAGTAATTAAATTTGATAATGATACATTACCACTGCTCCATTATCTGGCATCATTGGTGTTCCCATATTTGCAGCTCCTTCTGGTCCCATGGAAGGACCAGGACCCATTGCAGGGCCAGGCAAAGTTCCTCTGTTGTTCATATTCATACCCATCATTGGAGGAGGACCTTGGCTACCAGCAGGTGCTGGGCTAAACGCATCTATGCAAAACAATCTATACTTAGAGCTGTCCTAACTGATTTTTACAAGCAAAAAAAAACCAATTTACAATATTTAAGAAACCAACCATTTAAGACCTCCATTACTTAAAATTTAAGTTTTTATCTTTTGAGACTGTACATCTGCTGTGAAACATACTTCTATACTTAAACTTTAAAAAACAAGTTATCACTTAAGTGCATTTTCAGAGCCTCCTTTAAGTATGAAGATATTCTCTTCCCTTCACAAAAGAATATCAAAGTTTGCAATTAAATGTAGCTCCATTATATTTGCATGGAAGATTACTAAATGTTATTCCTAAATTTTATACGCACAATACATCAATTAAAAAAATACTTTAGTCACTATGTAATAACTTGCCAATTGTTATATAATGCACCTATTTTGGATCAATTTAGGTATCTAATTATGTAGGAGTTGAAAATATTATAAATAATGTAATATCTGAAAAGGCAAAAGTAAAGATGGCACTTTAATCCATATTAAAAAAAAAAAATCAACTGCTATAAGAACAACTTCATGTTTAAATTATTTTTGAAAAACAGCTGTTACCAAAGTAACAGTTAGCAAACCAAATAGTGAAAGATTAAGAAAAGTTTAATAAAGATCTTTATAGGTGGTATTTATAATGTTCAACCGATTCCAAATTAAAAACTGCACTTCACAATGCATCCTTCAGACTTTTGATTTACTGTTGGTACAGTAGAGATATACAAAACAAATAAAAACAACACAAAAAACACCATCACCACCACCAACCAAAAAAAAAAGAAGAAAGAAATAGCAAGCTGTGGTGGAATGAAAGCTTAGCTATAATAAATGTCAGCCAATCAACATCCATTTCTTAATACATGCTAATAATAGCTGACAAAAAAAAACTATGCATTTAAAACCTGTGTTAATAGAAATAGAATTGCACTGATGTTTTCAATTTGTGTCACCAAAATTAGACAGGTGATGGATGGTACAATGTTTAGTCATACTGCGAATGTACTATTTCAGCCAAGCATATGCATGTAGTTTCTTCGACAATGCATAAATGAGAAGAAAATGTAGTATTTATAATTTTCCAGGGTTTGCAGCCATTTATCACTATAATATGTAGAATTAGTCTAGTTTTTGAACACATGCTGCCAAACAGATAGACTAGAATACTTAAGTATGGCTTTCCATCCCTGAGTAACATTCCTCATTAGAATTACCATCTTTCATATTATGCATAAATTATCAATGCAGAACCAAATACAAGTTAATTAGCATAGCAATTATAGTGCTATTGTTTTATGTCTGCATATGAAACTTCATCTCTGTTACAAGCAATAAGCACTAGTATCACAGCGATCAGCCAGTGAACTGCTGCACCCAAGATGCATATATGCATGCCAGGGATACTTGATTAGTGCTGAAATCACACCTTCATACTGATCCTTAATATCAGTTCCATAAGAGGTTTAGGTTTTGCAAAAGATCTGTGGCTGCATGGCAAGGGTAACTGGTACACAGCTTGCTTTTAGAACTTATAGTGGAGAAGGGAGTAAGCCCTTTACTTCTAAAAGTTTGAACATCTCAACACATCTTTGACAAATTATTCCTCTAGGTTGTCTCTGAGCAAAAGCTCCCTTCGCCCATTAGCAGAAGTTCTATTGTAAGTAAGGGCTGGGCTGAGTCCATTTTTGCAAATATATCATGGATCCCTTACTAATTCTGGCCATCCAAAGGAGCAGATACAGGAAGAAAACAGTATGATATAATAAAATAGTATATATTTTATAGTAAATATAGCAGGCCACATGCATTTTCAAAAAGTTGAAGTACACTGTCCATAGTAAAGAAAGTGCACAGTGCTAGTTGGATTTATGAGAAAATGGTGCATACACAGCTATCATTGCATGCAAGGTTCTATCCTTAAGTACTGTTTCTTTTCTGTATTCTTATCAAGTTAACAGATCGTGTTTTCCTCTAAAGACAGAGTGGAGTATGTGTGTTGCCATTCAAGTCTTACTTATCCAGTTTTACTCATCTGTTAACAGTAGGAAAAAGCCTTCCCACACAGCCCACTTTCTCTTTATAAAACAATTTCTAATTTGATATACATGTTAAAAACCCTTTTAAACAGCTACAGCTGGAAAGGAAATAGATATTAACCCAATGTATAAAACAACTTAAGATTGCTGCTTTATAGCTTTACATTCTTTATTGTAGTATAACATGTATCAAAAGAAGACTAAAAACACATACTGAAGATATCACTGCTACTGTATATTTCTGAATTTGCTGTGAACTAACTGGAACAGTAAAAACTGCTTACAGTAAAAACATGATATGCAATATTGCAGTGGTGCTCAACCCCCAGGCTACAGGCCAGATTTGGCCTACAAAGCCATCTTCCCACAGGTCTAGAAATTAGACAAAAATGTTATTTGGGGCGGGGGGGGGAGCAGCTAGCAGCACTGCCACTCCTCACAGACTGGCATGTGGCTAGAACTGGGTAAGGCCAGTGCTCAGCGAGATCTGGGGGTACAGGGATGCTCCATCGCCAGATCACAGCCATGGTGACCCCATGCTGAATCTGTGAATTTGGCTTCACTCCACTCATCTGACCTGCAGGGCCAAATAGACCTAACACCACTACAGTAATACATATCATGGAGCTAAGTGCTATAAAACATATTTACAATTTCAATAAATAAATTACATTTACTTAAGATGACTTTTATTTAGCAAATTTTCAAATAAAAATTCTTCTGGAAAATCCATTCAATTATATTTGCAACACTTTAAAAGTCTTCTGCCAAAATTAATCATTTCCTAGCTCTTCTTTTAGCTTACATCTTCCTTGATTTTCTTATACTAAATTTCTGGATATTTTAGCTTTTTAAATAATATTTTAAGACATGCTATGCTAATTCTCTCATGTATATATTTTTTCTATTAGTGCAAGTGACAATTTTGGTGGATTACATCTTAGATTAAAACTATTCAATTGTGTTATTGGAAATTAATATAAACATGCAATGCATCCTCCAGTATGTACAAAGCTATTTAATTCTCCAAGCCGTTGTTTTGATTTATAAAATGTACCCTACAAACAGACCTGAAATATGTCTTTTACTGTAAGAATGAAAAATTTGAGTAGATGCTATTAAGCCATAAAATGAATATACAAAAAAAGTTCTGTTAACCAGCATCTTACAAGCCGGCATGCTCAATTAACCAGCATGCCAGCTTGTAAGATAAAAGTGAAAGTGGAAGTGCCCACCGTGGCACTTTCGGGTTCTCCAAGCCCCCACAGCCCAGGGGCAAAGCAGCTGGTGCTGCTGAGCCCCCATGGCCTGGGGGCATAACAGGCTGTGCAGGGCCTGCCTCCCTGTCCCACATGGCCTGCAGGGCCCACAGGAGGGGTGGCCATGTGGCAGGAGGGGTGGAGGGAAGTTCCAGACACAGCAGGAGGTGTGGCAGCCTGGGTCACTCAATTAACCAGCATATTTTATTATCTGGCATCCTGGGGGATGCTGAATAACAGAGCTTTTACTGTAGTCCATTTTTAAGGTTATAATTTAAAGCATGGCTAAATTAAAAATAGGGCACAAAATAAATCTTCATGGCTGATAAATTTTAAACAGACTGCTTTCTAAAAGCTATTCTAAAAAACTTTTTAACTTTTGAATTTTAACATTCTGTAAAAGTAGACAATTTGGTCAAAACTCATCCGTGCTGACTGACTATATAAAATTCCACATTTTCTCACATAAAACACATGTCTACTCCCCAAAAAAAATCAGCCTCCAAGCTGGGGCACATCTGTTAAGTAGAGAAGTTGACTTTCCACCCAGGACATAAACACCCTGAGCTCTGATTTCTGCAGCTGTGGTATTACTATTCAGGTAGCTAAGGGAATCAATTGACTTAATGGCTCATTCTCCACTCCACAGGTGTTAAGATTATCTCTTTAACAATCTTGATGTTTCACTAATCAATCTAATGTCTCTTCAGGCAATTTTGCTGTCTGCTACCTGTTCCTGGTTTCTCTCCTCCTATTTCACAGCCTAAGCAGGAAAGGAGGGCCAATCAGCTGAAGATTAGGTTTTCTCCCTTTCTAGAGAGCCATAACTCTTTCTCCTGCCTTTCAAAAACAAGGTATGTATTATATTCCAGGCTGTGTTGTATGCAAGAAAATACAGTAAATACTTAAATAGGTTTGGTTTTGTTTTTTAGCTTGAACACTCAGTTAATAAAAAAAAGCTTTGTAACAGTGACAATACCTCCCTGAGGATAGAAATAGATTTGCAAGACTATTTGCAGCTGACTTGCAACACTATTAAAATCTTCAGGTAAGTATTTTATAATTTTTTATAAAAATAAACATCACCAAAAATTAACTAAAAACATGAACTAGACGAGTGCAAATCTATTTACCTGACTGTACACTGCAGTCCGATTCCTGCATTTAGACAGGATTCTTCCTTTTTCCCTTCCACAAAGAATCATAAATGCTAGAAATGCTTTTCATCATGTCTTCTATGTTAACATCCTCACTTGCTCTTTTATAATTTAATGACTGTAAATCAGTCCAAGTTTCTCCCACACACAGATCAATATAATAAAATGCAAGTATGTTAAGTACTTGCAAATATTTTAAGGATCAATTAAAAACCAAATGGGTAGGATGTTATATTGCTCACCACTAAAATGTTTATTCTTTATTACTAGTACTTGCCACTAATATTTAATACCAAGGAGCAACATGTACAGTCCCAAAGAAATTAAATCTTAAATTAAAAAAGCCTTTTTCCTTCAGATCCCTACCTCCCATGTTTATTGCTCCACGAGGACCCATATCACCCATTCTCATTTCCTGTTCTCTCTGAAAGTAAACATAGTTTTCATGGTCAACCTATCATTCTTAGAACTTTAACATTCCCATCTACTAAAAAAGCAAAATGATTTATTTTCAAGTCTAAATCTTAACTTCTTTAGTCATATTTACAAAAAACCAAAAGTAATATAATTATAATCTCCAATTTATGGTTTGGAATTAGTTGGTAAGAATTCAAACAGGAAAACGCATAACCATTTTGAATTAGGTTTGAGGGAATTTCAAATCTTACAGAAAAGTTTCATGCATCAGATGCAGTGGTCTATCATTGCTAATTTTATTTTTAGACAGACACTTTATTCTCACCAAACAGTTTGCTCAAATATGAAAACAAACTTTTTCACTTTTCATTTTTAAATAGGATGTGAGAACTCCTGCTGCCTTGCAGCCTGACATACCCAAAAAATTCAAACTGAAAGACATTACCAAAAAGAATGTAAAAAAAAAAATCACTACTGGAAAAAACACAAGCATGTCTTTCAAAGATCATTTAAATTTAAAAACAAATTGCTACTTACATCTGAATAAAAGAAAGTGTTGAAAAATAGACTTCAGAATTTAGTAGGAAACAATGCAATGAATTTACAAGAGAAGAAAACACATCGAGTGAAAGACAAAGTCTGCCTTCCCCCCACCATGCAACTTCCATAAATTTAGAAGTATGCTATACACTTGGTAGACATATACCTCTTGGGCATTAGCAAATGCTATACAAAAAGGGGGAAATTTATATAAATAAAATACAGAGGACAAACACTTTAGGGTGTAATTTTATCTCCTAAACAATCACTTCACTTATAAATATTTAGGAATAAAAAATTTAGCACTCATTTTATAAATACTTTGATCAAGAGATTAAAGGTGCAATTGTCCTAACACTGCTGAACCATTGAGTCTTTTACATACTGGATGTGAATTTTAAATAGTAATTATTACAATTTAGACTAACAAGTTAGACTGAACCAATTTATAGCTAAGGCAACTGATGGCAGTTCACACTAACTTGGAAAACACAAGGTATATATACTCTGAAGGCTTCAGTTAACAGTACCTGGTCGTTAATTTTGGATAAATCATGATTCAGTAAGGAGAGGAAGCATTAAGACACTCCCCATCATTGAAGGCTGAAGATTGATATTGGTAATTGAAATTAAGAATTTTTGGCAATTTGGTCAAAAATGTATTATTCCCCCCACCCCCTTCTTTTCATGCCCAAAACAACACTAAGATTCCTAAAAGGTGTTAATTCATAACCATGAATGATACTTTCAACCATTTATCCATGGATTCAATATAGGACAATTTTCTCCATGTTGTTTTTCTAATATACCTCAACCCTGACCCAAAAAGAACTTAAAGAAAGAAGACAGTAGTTCATTCTGGATGCCCATTCACTCTTTACTAAGGGGAAATACGAAAGGAAGTAAACCTAATTGATATTTTTTTGCGAATATAAGAGCTAGACATACCATGAATACATTTCAGTCATAAAACACAGATTCTAAATCTTAATTTTAACTGAGGTGTCCCAGATTGGATTCAAATCGGTGACCTAGAGATGGAATTGTCCAAATCTCATTACCATCTCTCTGCAACACCTAACTTGCTCTGCATATACCTACCTTGAAGAAATCAGCAGCATTCAAGTAAATTACTGAAAATAACCTAGTCTGGGGCACTGCCAATTCCCACAGCACAAAAATCCCACAATTGGTATAATCTCAGAACTACTGCACATAAGTCTCTTAGAGGTTACAGTCACCTGCAGACCCAGTTTAATAAATGTAAGCTGTATCATACCAAACTGGGAGTTGCTTTAAAAAACCATAAAGAATATATGAACCCCCTTTAATTTGAAAGATGGAAACATACAACAAACATACGCTGCAATTTGTCAGTAAAGACACCCCTGAACAATCAATGAGTGCTGAATTTATACTACTGAGCTTCAAACAATTTTCATTTTTAGAGTCCCTATTCAAAGAGAAAAAGTAGCATTTCAGGTGGCTAACTCAAGAGCCACCTAAGTTTTCCCTGCAAGCTACTGGCTATCTATTAGTTAACCGCTATTCCTAAAGTATCCCCACTCGCTGGTTTTCACCCTTTTTCCTCAGTATGTCATTGTAATTTTTTACATGCTTCAGAAAACAGTTATTCTCTTATTTTGTGAAGCAACTGTACGCTTTGGGTACTCAAACATAACAATGCACCTGATAAAAAGAGAAAGCATGGCAACTTCAAAGGAGGCAATTATTTTCAAAAAGTTTTAATTGTTACTATATGCTTTAATGTGATTTAATTCTTAAAAAGATATACCACCAATAATATCATATATTCACATTAACTCCACCTATTGAGTTATAAGGCTGCTAGCAGTCCCAGCTCTGGACAAGAGCTGAACTCCATTCCATGCAAATGGAAACCTATGTATTATCAAAGGGTAGTGTGGCAGCAAGACAAAGTTGCTCCTCTCCTAGGAAAAGCTCACTTACCCCTCTTCTCAATTTTATTGCTTATCCAATTGTTCATCAGCAGCCAGTTTCAGCCCCTTCTCTGAAACCACCTCTGGCAACTGAATTGAAGCCACTTGAGGTGGGGTAGAATTTTGTGAAATTTTACACAACTAAAATTCCTGAAGCATGTAAGAAATACCTACCGTCTTACACGACAAAAAGAGCTCTAGGTGCAAGTTATCCATTTTCACTTCAATGAAAAAGAGCAGAGACCTGTAATTGCATGAATCTCAATACCACAGGTCCAAACACATTAACAATCTTCAAAATATTATTCCATTGATTTTTTTTATACTTAAACACATATTCTTTAAGTCCACTTCTCAACTTCCTAAAATTATGATTTAGGAAAGGTTTCCATGGATGAGAAATGGAAAATTCTTCATCGTTAGATATACTTTGCCCTGCCATATTAAAATAAATCAGTTTAAAAATACTAAGTTGAAAAAAACAACAACAAAGCAATCACCACCTTTTTTACCGGAGAACTTGGCCTTGCACTTCTAGCAAGCCAAAGCAGCAAAAATATTCTACTAAATATACTGCACTATTCATTGTAATAAACTTTTTAAAAAGATAAATCTGAAAGGGAATATATACTGGCAAATAACTGTAAATGGCAAAAAATAAGCATACCAAATATCTATTATTTATATTCATTTTCTATCAGATTGTAGCCCACAGGGTTCTCTTCAACACTTTGTAGCAGAGGGTTCAATTCCTGATCCATGTAGCGCTGTTCACTCACCTTGTAAGCTGAAAATTAGCAGTCACAAATGTGGCAATGGGAAAAGCATGAAATTAGAGAAGAAACTGTACGCCCTGGTAAAATATAACACTTGCTTAAAAATTACTTCACATCTTTGAAATTAGGATTTCCAATTCTTAAAACATGGCATTGCAACTAAAAGGCCATCTTAATCTTGTCAAGCAAAAACAAAACTCCTATTATCTAATGTTTTCCCCTTACCCCCTAAAAAGTATGAGGCATTAAAAAGACAATAGGATTTATGGTATGTCCCAGGAGATTATGCTCAACTAAAAGGTCAGATAAGACCAGAGCCCAGCACATCAGTTTATTTAAATATTTCTTTACAAGCACTAGATCATATAACCCTCTGCACTAGCATTTACACCTTAGTAGGAATGTAACAGGTTCAAAAAAGATGTATTATATTGGATATATATTTTAAGGAGTATGGAAAATATTAACTCCATTTCAAAGTTCAGATAGTGCAAATTCAATTTTTAGGATTTATTGCTCCAGAAATTAAATGGACCCCTCCTTCTCTGCCCCCCCCAATAACTGGAGACAGAAGAGCAAACATTTGTCACTGAACTATACCAAATGTTGATTAAAGTCAGCTACTGGATCCAAACGATCAAGTGTCCTTCTAAATGTTATAAACAACTGCAAATCAGTGCAGATGAAGTGTTTTAAACAAAGAATTTTAATTTAAATTGAACTTTGGTTTAAATTAAAATTTTCTAATTTAAAAGTAAACCAATTTAAGATTAAATTGCAATTACAATAAGCATATACTAATGTCTATACTTAGTATAGTCTAGTCAAGTAATTTACATTAAATAAATAATATTAAAATTAAATACATTTTTAACTCCAAGACTCTAGACCAGGGGTCAGCAACCTACATCCCATAGGCCAGATTCTTTTAAAACTACAATGTAAAGCAGAGACTGTGGAACATCCTAAAGCAATGAAGTAGAAGGGGCCTCCATCCTTTGCACACCCCCATCCTCCCAACACACACACCTGGTCACAACCTGCCTGGGTACTACCACACAGAGCTCAGTAGTGTGGAACCAAGTACAGGCACAAGCTGTGCAGATAAGGCATGTAGGGAAACTAAGACATGGGCTGTAGGTTGGTTGGAGAGCAACCTAGATCCCATCCTAGATCTTCCTCTTCCCTCAGGGGGAATCCTGGGGAAACTCTGGGCACTGACCCCTGGAAGGCAAGATGGTCCGACTATTCTGCCACCCCCCAATGGTATTTTGACTGAACAGCAATCTCCAAAAAGGTGAATTCTAAGGAGGGAGGGAGTCCAGTGTTATGTTGGTCCATATCCTCTGCATCTTGCTCTGAAGGAATAGAGATTACCTTCTGCAGTTTATTAACATGAGCTCAATTACTAATTTATTCAAATCTAAGAAATCAACTTGAAGTTAAAAAAAGCAGGAAAGCCTGCTACCCTCTTTCAACCTATAAATAAATACAGAAGAGACTTGTTTCTGAAACCCTGAAAGGCAGGTTAACCAGAAAATAATTTGCTCAATTTTCTTACATCAGATACTACTTTGTTAAATGAAACACTTTTAGACAAATGGGTAGATCCAGCAGCCAAGACAGTTTCATAGTTCTATGTAAGTACTGCATTCCTCTGAATCTAAGATATGCTTTTTAAAACCAACAGTTTTTAAGTTTCCTGAGTTTTAAATTTGATTAAAAAAACA